TTTCCCGTCCACCTTTTAATAAATTGTTGACCCCAAATATCACATCCCCTTGACACAAAGTCCATGCTACCATCGACTTGATGTTCAGGGAACGCAACAATATTTTACACACAAGATTATGATAATGTGCATTTTATTGTCTTGGCAAAAGATCATTTTGGGCTAGTGACCAAGTACTGGAGGCAGATGTACAAGTATTCGTTGGGACTCATTTGTTTGTGAATTTATTCCTCCCCTATAGTTGGCACCCCTGATCTTGATACAGATCTGTGCTTCAGAAACAACCAACATTTCCAACAGTAAAAATGTGGAAAAGATGGAGCCGAAGATAAAACCAAGCTCTTGAAAACCATCCATTTTTCTCCACCCAAGAAAGCACAACAGTCCACCCCAGTCTACATGTAGTTTCTCATGTTTCTATTCTACTGTACCATTGTGTATGCAAGTAGTTGGATGTGAATTCAACCGCTTAATTTCATGGCGCAGCAGTCCTTCGAATAGAAGCATTTCACATTGTGCAAGCCAATGTTTGCTTCACACCCACATCTTGCTGGCCTCTTTTTAACTTCTTGGTTGACATCTATAGATTACCATGCTGATCGTCATAATGCACAAATTGTACGTGTACTTAGAATCCCAGTGCCTACCTACATACATGTACACTTGTTACCCACAAACATTCGAGCTTAAACTGTGCTTGTAAAAACTGCGAAGTTCTTATGCAAATGGAACACGGACTGCCTACCATTTCTGAAAATCTGCCAAAACCTGGCCACCAAAGTGAGCCACAAGCATTATTCCAGCTGGCCGCAAGTCACAGAAAATCACTAGTCATGCAACAGTAAAATACATCTCTTAAACTCTTGTATTTTCTATTTTGTTTTAATGTTTGTATGCATACTGGTACAAAATACATTTTAACAAGAACAAAGTGTGACTTGCAATAATTCTGAATGGATTCCAGACAAGTCAATACAATTGAAAAGTACTCAGAAGGGCTAATTATTCAACCTTTTTACACGAGCAGCGTTCTACAAACTAAGCAGAATTTGAGTACAGCATTCTAAAAGAATTGAGCCCTTAATCCACACTAACAAAGCACAATTGGCTGCAAATTTGGGATTGGACAGGGGACGCTGGAGGGTACAGTAAAGCTTGACGTTGCATTCATTCCCCCCTGTGCATTCTGGGCACTTATAGTAATTTCTCTGTATTTCAGAGAATGCAGGGGTCACTGAAAATAATTCTGCTACATTATGGACAGAATAATTTTCAGTGATGACCCCTAAATTCTCTGTAAAATTTTATCCATGTTACATGGACAGAATTATGGCTGAAAATTGACAAGGACACTCATGAGCACAAATTAGCCCACATTTTAAGTTTATAACCCCATTTGGATTGTCAACAGGAAAATCAGCACTACAGTATTTTCCTCGGCAAAGTTTATATGCAACATATGTAAGGACCGAAATTTTGTCACAAGTTTCTGTTCATGTTGCGTACATAAACAACTGGACATAACACTCTGCAAAATACACTGACTTGTCGTGATTTCTTCAGGTAACGTTGCCATGGAGATCAGAATTAAAAAGCACAATATTACAGTCAAAGTGTGTACCGTATTTGGACGTTTTGCTAAAATGAACACACTTTCTTCCCATGTTATGGACATGACATTCTAAGCAAACCCCCAAAAAGTGAACTTTGCTTGGAAAGCTTAATCCTCAACAATGGGGTGGGAAAGTGCTGCATGTTGAACAAAGGACAAATCTCTGGATATTATTGTGATTTATGTTCCATTCCTATGTCATACTTTTGTATCCCCCCATTGAGAGTGGAATGACCCAAATATCAATTCACTAACAACTACATTCATTTCACTAAAATGGCAAAAGGATTAAAGCAGAATTGTATATAAAGTAGAAAGACATAAAAGTTGCGTGCTACATGATTTATAGTTTCAAACTTTAACTGACAAAACTAACAGACGAAACGAAAGGCAAGCATTTAAGTAAGAAAACAGTGAATGTTAGAAAAACAGGAGTTTATAACACACATTTACTTAAGGCGGTCATTTCCAATTTTTACATGTACAAGATGTTTGTACAAAAGTGAAAGATATTTGTATTTCTTATACAAAAACTGAACTGCTAACAAACGAAGTTTCTATGTACACAAAAACCTTGGTGGTTGTTAATTAATAATGCACTGTTTATTTAAATGTGAGATAACGATAAATGCAGTGATTAAAAATATGTTGTTGTCCATGCATCTGTATCACAAAGAATCACAGTTTATACAAAAATTCATTTCATGTTCAGTTCTCCCACTTGTCCTCCGTCACACACTGGAATGCACTGTTCAGTGGTAAGGCTCGTCATATGAAAAGAACTGAAGAACAAATACAGTCGTGGTATCTGAGACTTCAAAAGTTTTAGCTCCAGCTAATCAGGTAAACATTAGACCAGTTCTTGTATCCGAACTGTGGTGGAGTCAATCGCAAGTTAGATCTGGAAACACATGTTGAAGTCAGATTGCAAGTTGAATTTTGCATGTAGTTGAGTCGAGCCAGGGCCCAATTTCATGGCATGGCGAAGCACACAATTGTAATTAACAGAGGTTCCATGTATTTCATGAAGAGGCCTAAGCATTTAAGCACGACAAAAGACAAGGTTACCTCAGAAATCTCTATGTGGACGCCAAGCACTGCCATGAAATAGTGCTTACTGTTTGCAAAACTTTTTGCTATAGTAAGCACGACTTTTCTGGCTACTATTTATGAAGCACCATGAAATTGGGTCCAGGTTGTCACAAGGCATGAGTAGTGACCAAGAAATGGCTGTGAATAGGCTCTGGTATTTCCAGACTAGATGACTCGTGATTGACGGATGAAATGACTAACAGTAATACCACTCACTGAAATAGGCAGCAGTGGAACTTAATTCTGACCTAGATGTACATGTAGGTAAATATGAAAAGTACTCCTTGGAAAATTCACAAAGTCAAGGAGTTTTTAAATCTTGAACCCTATGGCAAGTTCAGAAATTGTACACTAAAAACCATTTATTGCATTGTGATGGCAAGATCGGTGGTCCCTTATAAAACTGTTATTCTATCAAACCAATCTACGTGTAACTGTCGCCATTTTCTTAACACCTGTTAACAGCCCTTGACTAACAGTATCTGAGCCACATGTATAACACCTCTCTCATTCAGCAGAAAAATAGACGTGACTCATTTCCCTCATTCTAAAAGTATGCAAACAATGTCATTAAAAAAGACAAAAACACAGTATTGTCAATAGTGAGTGATACACTAAAACTTGAAGCTCGGTTTGCTTGAATTGAAACTAAAACGACATTACTGTACACAAACAACCAAACAAAAACCTCTGAAGATGCATCTTGGAAGATCCGGTCACAAATGTCCAGAATCTCTTTGCCAAGGACAAAATGTTTGAGGTCCCTGTGATGGTTCGCATAATTCAAGACCTGCCACTGAAGGTGCACATTTTAGACATTCTGTCCCAAGCACAGAAATTTCAGAACTCGACACTCATCTCTCACAGTTTCAAAGGAGTTTTGGCTCTGGCAACTATTAAAAGGACCTCATATTACCCTTGAAATGTTGTGACAGACACAACTACTCATCACAGATTTATTTCATATTGTGACTTTATTTTTGTCCCATTTAGTTCCTGTTGGTTCCAACACTGGGCACACCCCAGTACCGTCTCTTAAAAAAATGCCCAGCTGTCAATTACTCATTCTCCGCATTCCCACACAATGAGTTTCTCCTCCATCAACCCATCCAGCTCACACCAGGAATCCCTCCTCGCTACCGGCCTGGCTGGCCGGTGGCTTGCCGGCCTTGGTTAGCGTCACAAAGTTGCCCAGGCTACTGGGCACAGGGCTAGGGGTGACTGAGGACTGGAACTCGTAGGGCCTGCTGCTGCTGGTGGTGGAAGGGGGCGGGTGGGTAGCCAGCTGGGCCTGCTTGCGACGCAGTTGATTGGCGTAGTCGCGCTCCTCCTGGTCCTCGCTCACCTGGTCTGTCATGACGCTTGGGGACCGACCTTGGGAGGAAAGAAAGAATTGACCCAAGGGTTGTTCCATGATAGAATTATTTCCTCCCGATATGTGAACTCGGGGACTTTGGAGAGTGCCGATCTATCCACTAAGCCTGTATATGATTGTCTTGGTTACAGCTGATGGTCATATGCATACACCTAGGAGAAATGACTGCATTGGCAAGCCGTGGCTTCCCAAAGGCACATGTGTGATTCCAACTCATAAATCCAAATCTTGTGATGATGCAGCTCATGATCAAGCCTTTGCATTCAGGCCCCTACAACTGGGTGTTGTCTGAAGCCTCAAGTTTTCATTTTCTTTTTTTTGATACTTTCTGAAAAATCAAACATCTTTAACTACAAGCTCTGATAGAGCCGTACATTGAAGTCCCAATCCCTTGTATTGCGGGCGGGGTGATTAAATTCCAGTACAAAACCATACCCTGCGACAACCCTGGGTATCACTGTGGGGCTTGAGGTCTCGCCCATCTGCGCAAGTTCCCTAACCCAATGGGAGGAACTTGAGAAAGTTGATGAGACTTGGTGACCAACCTTTGACTTTGGCTTCTCATTTGGAGGGAGCTTGAGTCAGTGTTTAATACCGTATGTCCATTTCAGTGACCTACCAAAGCTTTCCCAGCTGGCTGAATAGGAGGGTGGTCGGTACCCGGCATTGTGGTATCCTGAGCCCGGTTCCCTCCGTGAGGGTGTAATGGGCTGGCGGTCGCTGTCATCGTAATGGTCACTGTAGCTGCGGTCGCTGTAGTCGTCGTAACGCTGGTCTCCATAGCCGCGGTCATCATAATGACGGTCATCATAGCTATGCTCGTCGTCAGAGTACGGGTCTTTGGAGTACTCGGAGCGGTCACGGTGAGACATGGAATCTATGGTCTCAGTGACAGTAGCACTCTCCTTATCCCTGGATCCAAAGGGAAGAACAATATCAGCTATTGTACTTGTGTTTCAGCAGCAATTCATATCTACATGAGGAGCTCTGATCAAAGATCTCTCGTCTACAAACACAACGCACCATTTTGTATGAGCAGCCATTTTTAGAAAAATCTCGACCACTGTCAGAGTATGTTTTCCGACAATGGCCACATAGGACTGGCAAAAAATCTAGCTGGGACAAACCCCAAGGAAGGTCTTAACACTGAAGTTATCTACTTACGAAACCTCCGATCCAATCTTCTTCATTTTGACGTCTGAGACCTTAGCTGAAAAAAAAAGAAGAAAATCAAAACTGCAAATTCGGCCTAAGCAGTGCATGCCCAGTCACATGCACCGAACATATCCACACTCCTGTGCTTTGTTCTCAAATGGTCTTGCTCTATCAATGCCATTGATGAGAGGTGAATACAAGAATATACTGGGCATTTGTTACCTACGAAGGACAGGTTACCCATATGAGTGCATGCCTGATGCTGACACCTGTCCTTTCTCACTTGGAATGTCCCAACTGCAATGTTCATTCCAGTGGGCAGTGTGTTGTGGCAAGTGTTCCACAAGAATCCTAGCCTATAAATTTTGACAACCACGACACATCACCAACACTGTCAGATAATAACCACAATAATAATGTCAAAGCAATTATAAAGCGCAGAGTGTGTCACAGCATCTGTAATTGAAAGGCGCCCATATATTACTATTATCCATGGACATTGGGCTCACACATCATCTGGACATTACTGAAACCATCTCAGCTCCAAGGGAAGTATACCAGCCTGATGCTGCCATTTCTGCACATACGGCTAAACATAACCGTGTCTGCCCTCACAGGTACCCATTTACTCCTGGGTGGAGAGAGGCACATTGGAGTAAAGTGACTTGCCCAAGATCACAACATGCTGCTACCAGTTGGATTCGAACCTCCCTACCCTATGATCAGAAGCTACAAACCCTAAACAGCTCGGCCACATGCCTCCTGTCTGCCCTCACAGGTACCCGTTTACTCCTAGGTGGAGAGAGGCACATCGGAGTAACATGACTTGCCCAAGATCACAACATGCTGCTACCAGTTGGATTCGAACCTCCCTATCCTATGATCAGACAACAAACCTTAAACCGCTCGGCCACGTGCCTCCTGTCTGCCCTCACAGGTACCTATTTACTCCTGGGTGGAGAGAGGCACATCGGAGTAACAAGACTTACCCAAGATCACAACATGCTGCTACCAGTTGGACTCGAACCTCCCTACCCTATGATTAGAAGCTACAAACCCTAAACAGCTTGGCCACGTGCCTCCTGTCTGCCCTCACAGGTACCCATTTACTCCTGGGTGGAGAGAGGCACATCGGAGTAAAGTGACTTACCCAAGATCACAACATGAAGTTACCAGTTGGATTCGAACCTCCCTAAACCTATGATCAGATGCTACAAACCCTAAACCGCTCGGCCACGTGCCCTATAAATAACAAAGGGATGGGGAAGAGAAACTACCCGACTCACCTGCGCGTCGCTTCCTCGAGGTGCGTCGCTTGATGAGACAGCAGACCAGGAAGATGTTGATGAAGACACAGCTGAGGAGACTCAGGAAGGTGACCAGGAGGAAGAGGTAAAGGGGGATGTTACCCACCAGGATGCCTGCCGAATAGGGGGACGGAGCAACGGACAGCAGGTCAATGGGTTAATCAACTCTCACTGCCGCACACGGAAACAATCCATCCGTTGCACCACGTGAAGACGTACCACGTGATGAGCACGGCAGTTTGGTACACATGAAGTCATGCACCCTGTGTAGACTTCGTGCCACATGGCCAACGTGTAACGCAGCAATCACAGACCCCTTGCAGTTGGTACTTGGTAATAGTTTCTTTAACCCCAACCCCCTAGGCTCCTGCACTAGAAAGCACACTGAACCTAAC